GAAACTGGAAAGCTGGGGCTCAGGCAGGAGATAATTATCAAATTTCATCAGGTTTAAACTGACTTCAAAGGCAAGGAGGAGGAGGACACAGAGCTGAAGCCAGACTGCCTCAATTCAAGTACTGGTGCTGTGGCTTTCAAGCTGGGCAACCTTGAACAAGGTACTCAACCCTTCTGTACGTCAGGATTTCCCATCTGTAAAAGAGGGATGATGTTAATTCTACTACACAAAGCCTTGCAAAAATTAAACATGGTTATGGCCATAAAATAATTAGAGTGACTGGCACATGGTAGAATTCTGTAAATGTTCATTACTATTAAGACAGGCTAAACTATTCTTTGTCTTTTTACTTTTTTGGTGGTACTAGTGTTAGAACTCAGGGCCTCCCGACTGCTTGGCAGTTTCTCTACCACTCAAGCCATACCCCCGCTCTTTTTTTTCTTTTTTGGTTAGGGTCTCAAATTTTTTCTTGGGGGCCAGCTTCCTCCTCCCTATATAGCTTTCATAGCTATGTAGCATTCATAGTTGTGATTATAGCCATGTATCCCCATGGCTGCTTTGTTTGTAGAGATGGGGGTCTCACTAACTTTTTCCCTGGGCTGACCTAGAACCTCCATCCTTCCATTCTCCACCCACCCCCCCCATCCCCAGCCTTAAGCTATTTTTTTGAAAAAATTGGCTTCTGCTAATCTTTCTCATACACACCTCTGTGGGGGGAGGGGAACCAGAGGCTTTAGTCCACCTGGTTCTGAACTATTTGAGAGTTAAAGGGAAACTGGAGATCTCTTAGAACCTCCAGGAGCCACTAACAGCCTCATGTCAGGCTCACCCAGCCCTCATAAGTCACAGGCCTTGTACGAGGATCATTGTTCTGCTCTAGTCGTCCTGTTTAAATCAGACAGCTGAGGCTCAATAGGGAAAGCCAGTTACCAGTCATGGAGAGTCAGTCACCCAGCCAGGACCAGGATCAAGGGTTCCCATCCTCAGTGAGCACTGATGAAGCCCACCCATGTGTGATCAGGACCAGGCTCTGCAGTGCAGGAAGATCTGCCAGGCAGGGAGTCCAGAGCTCAGAGTCAGGGTGACTGGAGGGGTGGGGCAGCTAAGGTTCTTGTGTGTGCTGTGTTAAGGATAAGCACAGTTAACACCAGCTTTCTCTTGGGAGGCCACAGGGTGCTGAGCACTCCTTAGTGCTCTCTGGATACCTTGTCCACTCACATCAGAGAAATCTGTCAGGTGAGGCAGAAGCAGTACAGACCCCAAGCCCAGCCCTGCTCTGCCCCTTTTTGGCTGTAGGTCTTGGATCCATCTCTCAAGCTTTCTGAACTTCTGAAAAAACAAGTGTCTTTGGCCAGCAGGGAGGAATATGTGTGTGTGTGTGACCAGTATCACTTTCTTCTAGCAGCTGCTGCCACCAACCTGTGCTCATTTTGGGGCGTATGTGGTGTAGGTTTGTCCGAGGGCTCAGTTGACTTTATCTGTAGAGTGGGATAATGACAGCAGAAGTTTCTGTCATTGTTATTGTGAGAAGCCTGCTGAACCTAAATAAGTTCTAAAAAGTAGAAATGAAGGCTGAGCATGTGGGTCGTGCCTGTAATCTCAGCACTCTTGAGTTGGAGGCAGGAGGATCACGAGTTCCAGGCCAGTTCCAGACCAATCTGGGCTACATGGTTAGACCCTGTTTCAAAACACCAAAAGGCCAACCAACCAACCAACCAACTAGCCAGCAAAAAACCAAGGGCTGGATGCAGCCTAGTGGAAGAGTGTTTGCCGAGCCTGCACAAGGCGTTGGCTTCCATCCCCAGCACTGCAAAAAAAGTAGGCATTAGGTTGCCCAGAAGCAGACTCTGTGCCTGCACCGAGTTCTGGGTCCTCAGCCCACATCAGGAAGAGGGGATGTGCTTTGTCCCTCTGGATATGCACCTGCTCGCTCCTATGGCCAACTTTGCCAGTTGTCACTTTAGCTGTGTGAGCACTCTCTGGGGCATGGCTGCCCCAAGGTGGGTCTGACAGCCACACCAAGCAGGACGCAGTGGGATGAGGCCCAGATTGGCCACTTCCTCCTGCAAGGGAAGTCAAAACCTTGCTCTGGTGAGCTGCAGGCTGGCTGCAAGGCCCCGGGGCTGGCAGGCGGGCTTCTGGGGGCCCTGGCAGGAAGCAGTCTGGCTGTGTGCTGGGTAGAAGCAGCAGACAGTGGTGTGCATGCCATGTAAGGCTCTGGGACAACAAGGCCAAGGAGGTGGACAGAGGACAGAGCTGGAGCGGCAGCAGAGGCTGCTGGGGAGGGAGGCCCTGCTGTCACTTCCCAAAAGCTAAGCCTGCCTCTAGGCGGGGAGAAGGTCAGAGCCGCCCTCCTGGCCCCTCCCTGCTGCCTTGGGGTTTGCCCCAGCTCTTCAGAGCACGGAACTTACAGTAAATGATGTCACCAGTGGAAACTCTCAGAGGGGGCGAGGAGAAGGATGGGAGGAAGGGGCCAGGACTCCCAGCCCCCAGTTCCCGTCTTACCAACACCCCCCAGCCTCACCTCGCTGTTTTATCTTACTTTTCGGTAAAGGGGGCATGCCCTCTCTCTGGGATGTGCCAGGAAAAACTAAATGGTAAGATGCACTAGCTGGCCACCGGCTGTGACTCCACCATGGTGGCTTTGAGTCTCTCCCAACCCCGTGCTAGAAATGGGGTTTCCTTTGCACGGACCCAGGAAATATCAGGCTGAGGCTGAGCGTTTCACATCTGTCCTTCAGGACAGATGGAGGCTGGCTCAATGGGCACCTGCTCCTCCATCACTTAGAAAAGAAACCCTTAGGGTATGGAGGGGTTCAGATGATTCCCAGTCTACCTGACAAATCCATCTAGCTGCAGCTCATGCTCCTGATGGATTACTTAGGGCAAATTTTAAACATCAAGTTATCTTCCCTCGGCTAACCACCCACAATATTTTTGAGCCAACTTTATGGCAACAGTTGATACTATCAGTCAGCCAGCCCACAAATGTTTGAGTTCATCTGATGGGCCAGGCACTTAAATAGGCACTTAATAAGTGCTTGAATAATTTTTAAAAATTTAACATCATATTTCACTAGGATTTTTAAACTTGCCTAGTCATTTGCAGTTAAAAACTTAGATCCTAGACTTCCCTCACCCCCAAATCCCAAACTCACTAAGTTCCAATCTCTAGACTTTTGGAAGGGTTAAAAACTGATTTTTTTTTTTTCAATAAGGATGATGTGGCAAGTGCTAGCATAAACCAAGTAAAACTAGAAAAGTGAGACCTGTTCTGTGAATATCGGTTTGGTTTTGAACTGAAATGTAATTTATTTCATCCAATGCAATCTCTAGACTTTTGGAAGGGTTTAAAAACTGATTTTTTTTTTCAATAAGGATGATGTGGCAAGTGCTAGCATAAACCAAGTAAAACTAGAAAAGTGAGACCTGTTCTGTGAATATCGGTTTGGTTTTGAACTGAAATGTAATTTATTTCATCCAATGCCATCACCACTCCCCCAGTGGGCACCATTGCTTAGCAGAGTAGGTCTGTTTGATTGAGTTGGGAATGCAAACCACATCGGAAGTGCAGTCCCTCCGGGCTTTCTGAAGGGGGGTTGTTTCTCAGTAACTGCTAATTTCCAGAGTGGGTTTCTGGGGAATGAGTGATGTGGTCGGCTCTCCTTCCCCTGAGTTCTCCTGTTAGCATGTATCTGCCGGTTCCCCGGTGCAGCAGGGGACAGGGTTTCCTGGACAAAAGGCTCTGTGTTTCTACACGGGCTTCAGACTCACTGAGAGTACAGGATTCCCCGCCATGGGCAAGGTTTTACTTTCCGTGGTTTTAGTATCACAGGCAACTGTGGTCTGAAAATATTAAGTGGAAAGTTCCAGAAATGAACCATTTGTAAATTTTAAATAACCTCTATTACAGTGTATAGTTAGAACCGTTCTATTTTATTATTACTTATTGTTAGTCTTCTCTGTGCCTAATTTATAAGTTAAACTTTGTTTGGAGTATATATGTGTAAGAAGAAAAATAGAATATATTGGTTTCGATCCAGGGTTTTGGAAAGTCTCGGAACACATCCCTTGAGGACTGGGGGTTCCGTGCTGTGAAACTCACCCGTGGGTGTGCAGAAGGGAATGGAGAGAGCTGTGGCCATCTTTTCCCCTTTGATATCTATGAAGACCCTGAGTGTCCCACAATCTGAAGCAGACAATTACCCATGGCTCTATTTGTAGTGATTGCGAGCTCTAGGACCATAACCTTGAGGAGAACACATGGAGTTGAATGGAAAGAACCGAACTTGGCATAAGATGCTCTCACAACCTGCTTTCCATCCTCAGGATCGGGCCTGCTAGCCAGTTTCCCTCGGCATACGCCTGTCATTCTCAGCCACAGACACTCGCGTACATGTGCACACTGCATGCAAAAGAGCACACTCATTGGGGGCTGAGGGGTAGGCTTCAAGAGGTGATTAGATCCTTAAGGGGGATGAATGCCTTTCTTACTCTGGAGGGACTGGTTATCATGAGAGCGAGTTACTGTACAGGCAAGCACCTTCCCACTCCCTTCCATACACACCTCTCTTCTGCACTCGCCCGGTTACCCTCCCACTTTTCCACTGTGCATGGAACATCTGTGTGGCTCCAGCCAACCAGATGTTGATACCGTACCTTTCACCCTCCAGAGCAGTGAGCAAAATAAACCTCTGTTCTCTATAAATGACCCACCTCGGGGATTTCATTGTAGCAATAGAAAATGGACTAAGAACTCCATGAAATTGCTCTTTTTATAGGTTGAAACAGACAGCTGTCAGTAGTTTCATATGGTTTGACATATACACACACATGTATACTGATAGGGTCACACCCATACACACATACATGCACAAAAATTCTCTGATGGTCCTTCTCCATGACTGTGCTAGTGGAATCTAACCTGGCCTGCGTCCCGCCCTGCCCCACCCCCCTGCCTTCCCTGACATGGGTCACTAATGCTGATGTCCCCTTCACAGGAGAGTGAGGACCTGGAGAAACAGAACGCAGCTCTTCGCAAGGAGATCAAGCAGCTCACGGAGGAGATGAAGTACTTCACGTCAGTGCTGAGCAGCCATGAGCCCCTGTGCTCCGTCCTGGCCAGCAGCACCCCCTCGCCCCCCGAGGTGGTGTACAGCGCCCACGCCTTCCACCAGCCGCACGTCAGCTCCCCACGTTTCCAGCCCTGAGTTTTAGGACAAAGGCGAGCAGAGCCCTGCCACCAGGGCTCAGGAAGAGCACAGACTGTGGCCATGTGGCCCTCGTCCCAGAGTCCTCTCTCCATCTGGAGACCCAGTGGCCGAGGCCTGGACAAGGATTAAATTCAGGGACTGTAGCGGCCAGAGAGGCGCGGGACCTCCCAGCTGTGCAGAGCCAGCCCGTGAGCGCTGGCCCCCATGTGGTGGAGGGAGGCCCAATCCAGACTTGCAACCACCAAGTGCAATGGCCAAGTCCCTTGGCACAGAGGGAGGAGGGCAGAAAAGTCCTAGTTTTCTAAATAAATGTTTCAAAAGAAACCAGACTGGCAAACAATTTCTTCCTTTCACTCTAACTTCTGGAAACTCTACTTTCTGTGGGGTTGGGAGCTTCCTTTTGTCCTTGACCTCAAGTACTGCCCACCCCCCCCACCCCAGCTCTGAGAATGCACGTCTCTTTTGCCATGGTTGGTTCATCTACCTGGGAAGTTAGAAGTTGGGCTTTTTTTTTGGCTGTACTGGGGTTTGCACTCAGGGCCTCACACTTGCTAGGCAGGTGCTCAACCACTTGAGCCATTCTGCCATTGCAAACTGGCCTTTTTTCAAAGCATCTTCAACACTCCCCCAGGTATCTTGATTTTCCTCCTACATCCTCTCACCATGACCTCCCACTTCCATCCCTCATTGGCAGGTGCTTTCTAGATCATGAGAGGGTCATTCTGGAGTTAAGGAGACGGTTCAGTGAAAGATGTCACCTGGAGACCCAGAAGTCAGATGGATCCTGTCAATTCACTCACGCAACTAACTACCCAGCTCTGTCCATGTAGCCCAGCCCCCAGGACACCATGAGGCAGGTCCTGTACCAGGGATTTGATTGACACAAAGAGCCTCACCTTCAGGGTGGCAGGGACTCCCCTGCCAGTGGGTCTGTGCCCTTCCAAAGACTCCATCTCCCTTAGAGAGCATGTAATTTGCCTGGCTTCTCGAGCCTCCACAGGCTGCCATCTGAGCTCAGGTAACTCAGGGTTGACTTCCACTCCCTGCTCTGATATCCACCTGCTTTTCAGAGGTTCCCCAGGCAGAGTATCTGTTGGCTAGCATGTGACAGCCTTCCCCATAGCACTGCCCAAGACCAACTGAGCCCCTCCCCAGAGCGGCAGTGACCCCTGCCCACATATCTGGTGTCTGCTGAGCCACCTGGGGACCAAACAGCAGGGATCATGGTGCCAGGCTTCTGAGTCAGCCTCTTCAGTTAGCACCTCAGTCTGCTTCCCTGGTGGCGTCCATGCTGGGATGGTGGGGAAGGAGGAGCTGGCCATTTCTCTATGTTGGTACCTCCTGACCTATTGGTCAGCAGCCCTGGCTAGTTCAAGGCCAGGTTTCCACTCTGACCTCTCTCGTTCATATCTCCTACCCTCTAGGATGATGCCTGTGTTGGGTTATTGTGATACTAAACTCCATAGAGGCCTAGAAAATCTGTCTCCTGCATTTGGGCACCTGGCTTCCCTGTGGCCAGTCTCTGGGAGGAGCTCACCCTGATGACCTCTGGAAACGGCAGCACTGGGGCTCCCACTGCGAAGCTATTGTTTGTGCCTGCCTAGGGCTTGGGAGTTGGGCTGAGCCCAGTGTTCTACCACCTGAGGAAACAGCCCAGAACACCTTCCCTGAGCTCGTGCTTTCCTCTTCTACTTCTAACCTTTGGTCGCTCACAAAATGGCGAGTTGGACTCTTCTAACACAGAGGCTCTGTGTGTGGTGAGGAGGATCTTGCATCAGTTCCCTGTAGGACCTGTTTTGCCCTGTTTGGCTCTTTTTTTTTTTTTTCTTTTCCAATACTGGGATTTGAACTCAAGGCCTTTACCTTGAGCCACTCCACCAGCCCTTTTTTTGTCATAGGTTTTTTCCAGATAGGATCTCTCAAACTATTTGCCCGGGCTGGCTTCAAATCACGATCCTCCTCATCTCTTCCTTCTGAGTAGCTGGAATTACAGGTGTGAGCCACCGGAACCTGGCTCTGTCTGACTGTTTGCCACAAAGGAGCCAGTTACTCCAGATGTTGCATGCATGGAATATAATTCATTTTTCTTTCACAGTTTTTTGTGTGTGTTTGTGGTGCTGGGCTAGACCCAGGGCCTTGTGCATGGTCGACAAGGGCTCTGCCACTGAGCTACACCCAGCCTTCTCATTCACAATCTTAACATGTAGAAGGTTGGGTCCAGCTTTCCTTGCAGCTCACCCTGCCAGGGCCTGGCCTTTCATGGGCAGGTTTCCTTCCAGTCAGGGAGTTTTCTCCCCACCCTTGCTGTAGCACTGTGATTTTCCCCCAGAAACCCCCACGGAAGACACATGACCTGTGCCCGGCATCTTCTGAATGATACTCGGGCCAGAAATGCAGAGCTCACGTGCGCCGTTCCCACCTCTCGGCAAGAACGTCTCTTCCCCTTTCATTCTCCACTTTCTAATGAGCCTGGGCAGTTCCACTTCTCCTTTCTGAGCAGTCTGGTAGAGGGACGTGGGCTGAGGCTGGTGTAGAGCCAGTGCTGACTTCATCTCCATGCTGTGAAATCTGAGAGACACCCATAAACAGAGTGAACTTCCAGAGATTTGACCTTGGATGTCTCATCAGCTCAGCTTCCTACCCATGACAGGAATAACTCCCCTAGGCTGCTGGACAGGCTGACCCACACTTACATGCTTCTAGGCCCAAACAGGCATTGCAAATGCATGGAACTCACTTGATGTAAGACATTTGGGAATGGTGAGAGTGTGGTAAACTGAGGAATGAGTGCAAAGCTTGCCATCGGTTCCATCCCATGGGGCCCTGTTGAAATTCAGATGAAGTGGTTCCATATCTCCCAATTTTGCAAGAAAAGCTAAAATCAGAATCCCCACATGAAATCTCCTAAATAATTTTTCCAGTGCTGCAACTGAATCCAGGATCTCCTGGGTACTGCCAGGCAAGTACTCCACCTCTGGGCCACATCCCCAGACCCCAAATCTCCCAACTTTTAAAAATACTCTGCAGACCACAAACTATATTGGTGGGTCAGGTCTGCTCTTAACATTTGTGGAGCCAGGGGCAAGAACAGAGACAGAAACCACATGCCATACATCTAAATATTTAAACATTATAGACCAAGGTTCCAAACTGGTTAAAAATAAAAAGAAAGATACATTCTCTTCTTCTTCCTTGGCAAAGATAATGTCATCCCAACCTGAAATGCCAGCTTTCAATGTAGACTTCCTTGACCCTTCAAATTTTATATTAGCACCAGGCAGCAAGGGAAAAGCAGCCTTCAGGCTACAGCCCGCCTGCTGCTTTCTTTCTGGCCCTTGCTGTCTCACAGTGACCTCAAGTTTGTGTCAGTGGACACACCAGACTGCAAGATCAGATTTTGTCCATATGCCAGCCCCACAGGCAGCCATTCCTTGGCTTCCTTTGGAGGAAGTATTGGGGAAGAGCTGCAACTCCTGGAAGCCAGCTCAGAGCTGTTCACTCTGAGGGTCCTGGTGTCCTGGGTACATGGAGCATGGGTCTCTGGGTAGGTGTATCTCCTTCTCCCAAAGACCCCTTTCCCCATGGGAAGGAGTGTAGCAAGAGGAAGACTTGGGCCACTCCCTAAACTGTGGGCAGTCCAGAGTATGAGTCTGGGGGTGGTACTGCCAAGGTCTGCCATCTTGTCATTCTGATGTAGGTCAAAACTGTCTCTGGGAAAATCCCAGGCTCCAGGAAGGCCCCGTGTAGCAAGAAATGGGCACGAAATAACGTTGTTGTCTGTCACCTTGACCTAGGGCTGCTGGGACCTGGGAATCTTTGCTTCCCCGCCTGTTGGACCTGTTTGTCTCTTACTAACAGTGTTATTCCCGGAGCGAGTGGCAAAGCAAATTACGAGAAAGCCAGATTTTCTGGGCTCAGGTTGAGAAGTGTGGGTGGGTAGAGAAAGGGACACAATGTGAACTCAAAGGTCACACGAAGGTCTGCTGGACCCAAACTTACCAGCAGTGTTTATTAATACCTCCAGCCCCATGTCGCAGTTGTGGCTGTGGCTTTGTGGTGAAAGGCAGCTGGGTGCCCCACTTTTTTGAGGGACAGACAGGTTATCTCCACTCCTCTGCCCTATTCCCTCCTCCCCCTCCCCCCACTGGTGTCAGTGCCACAAAGCTGCTCAGGAATTCCAAGGAGAGAAAAGGGGCTGGGAACTAAGACCTACCTCAAGGTAGTAACAGGGAAAAAGCTGCCATGGACTCGCCCCTCCTCAACAAAAGTGACCTCCTTGCTCAACTCCTTGTCCCTGCCCAGTGCCATCCTCGGACATCCCCTCTAATGGTCATTTTGTGGTCAAGATTGCAGTAAATTCCTAAAAAGACAGGAGTTTCTCGGCCTCGTCAGACCAGAAAATGGCTTATGCCCAGAAAAAGGAATCTGTCCTCAATCTGACCTCTCAGGTAAAGCCCTCTACTTAAGACCTGTGACTATTGTCCCACTTCACACATACAATTAATCACCTGGGATGTGTGCAGAATGCCCCAGGTTGCATAACAAGACCTTGTCAGTCAAACCTGTCAATCACGCTAGTCCCCCTTGCAAAGACCGCCCAGATTTTTTCCCCAGTGTTTGCCCTTACAACCTATAAATTGCCCTTTGAACAAAGATTGGGGCTTCTGTGCCACCTGGCCAGAGCCACCACTCTTTCTTTTGTGGTGCCTATACCTTTCCTTTTCCTTTTAATAAAACTCTACTACTGCTTTGTGATCTGTGTCTCTGCCCAAGCTTTGTTCCCAGATGCAAGGTCTTCTTGGCCAGGGGCTTCTGAGACCATCCACCCATAATGGGAGATAGGATCTCATGCTCTTATCTCTGTCAGAGAGGACTGGCCCTGTAAGAGGCACTAAGGGGTTGTAATGCTTCCAAAGGAATGATTCCTAAAATGGTGGCGTCTTAGGGTTTGCAGCAAGTGTATGGAGGAGATGTTGACCGGGGCTCCTGCCATGAGATGACCAGCTAGGGTGCTCAACAGCAGAGTGAAGTCAGGGTAGGAAGGGAACAGAGACATAACCCTCCTAAAATCTTGTTTTTAAGCACTCAATATATGCGATTTGGGTCAATCCTCTTCCAGAAAGATAAAATAAAAACTTGGTGGTTTGAACAATCCACTGGTAGGCAGAGATAAGGAATCTCTCATAGAATTTAATAGGAAAATGTGGACAGATAACGCCCCTGCTGCTCAGGTCTGTCTGTCTTCCTCTCAAAATTTCTGTAGAGAGACTGCTGAAC